GCCACTCCCTTTAACACGGATGGCCACAGGGTGCCATGAGTATTCTCCACCTTCAATCTGGAGTCTGCAGAGGAGGGCTTCCTACAAGGGACATCCATGCCGAAATGTGCTGAATGAGTGGGAATTAGCCAGGTGAATATGGGGGAAGGGGATAACGTTATAAGGAGAACAAAAGATATGCAAATGCTGGGAGGGCAGAGCACCTTCAGCGTGGCCTGGGAGCAGGGCAGCAAGCAGCATGCTGACCTTAGTTCACACGCTGAGCAATGAGCTAAGAGAAGAGCTTACTCATAGAGAATCTGGTAAATCAGGTATAAAATGTAAAATATTCATCAATCAATAAAACATCAACAAAAATTTATTTTCAATTCCTTAAGTTTTAATATTTGTAATAACATTACCATGTGTATGAAAACAATAGTGCATGTAAGACACATGATATTTACTCTACAGTGTTTGCTTTATGTGGGGGTTGGAGATCTCTGTGCAATGTCTCCAAGGTGAAAACAACCTCAAAAGGTGGTTTCCATGGACTTGAATAACTAGGATTTTTATTGCTTCATCATAAATTGCTGAAGGCACCACAGTACTGTGGATCAAAAAGTAGGAAACACAATGCCATGTTCTAGTTACTTTTTCACAGAATATTCAAAGAGAATATAACCAAATACAATTGTTTCATAGTCTCTTTTTTAATTGAGCACCTATTTATTACAGATAGAATACCAGGTTTAACAACATGAGGGATAGAAAGAGGAGGGATATTGCATATTGGCCCTGCCTTCAAGGCATTTACAATCTAGAAAGGAAGGCAGTACATGTGCATAAATGACTAAGCCAGGAGGCACTCCTATGGGGGGATGGGGGGTAGGAACGGAACAAAGTGCTGAAGGAAAGAAAGAATCCAACACACTCAGAAGTTAGAAACTGAACTGGGGACTCACTTTTTTTTTTTTAAATGCTGTGAGAGATTGAGTTCAGAGAGATTATTCTGATGAAAGTAGCTTATGAAAGTTCACCCTTGAAAGGCATGGGCTTTCACGGAGAGACACCATGAATGAGCTTTCTAGGCAACAGGAGCGCATGAGCAAAAGGCAAAATGCTCCGATGCTGCACCAAGCTCAGGCTGCCAGAGCACAGGGTGGGGTGATAGAGCACAGGGTGGGGTGATGACGGGGCGAAGGCGACTGGGAGTCCGGACTGCCAGATCAGGCCTTTTGGCTAAGCAGTCTACACTTAAGTGAAGAGAGAGAAAGCACCTGGGGTTTGGGTCTCTGTTGCACCTTGGATTTGTGTGACGCTGTTGCAAACTTAGCTTTTCCTAGCTTTGTCTGGAGACGGGGGTACAAATGATAGTGCCAGCTCAGGTGTTGTTGCTCTTGACGAGTAAATGTAATAATTCACAGGCAGCACTTAGGACAGTCCCTGGAATAAAAAGTTCATAAGCTACTGCTGCTTTTATTATTACTGTTATTAACTATATAAGTTATGAATGTAACTCATGAATGTTTACAGACTCCACCGGGCTGTGATAGGAAGAGACTGAGGGAGGAAAATCCACCTGTGAGCAACGTTAGGCCAGAGCACAGAAGCCTCCAAGACTCTGAGCTAAGATGGTACAGGGGCAGCGGGAGGGCATGGGTATGAGAGACCATGAGGAGGACAGAGACAAGAGTTGGGGTGAGCATAAACCTGGTATGAACACAGATTTGGAAGTCAAGAAGCTTTCCAGAGGAGAGGGCTAAAAACCTGGTGAGTAAGACATACACAGGACAGGAATTCACAGGGAACTATAAGCAGCCCTCCATTATTCATGGAAGGCGTTTCAACCTAACAGCTTCCATCTCCCTTGGTGTCCCATACTCCCGTCACTTCTCTGGGCATTCTAGGTGGGAGCATTCTCCTGCCCTCCCGGGACTACTGAAATGGAATTAACAATGAGGAAAATATAGTACCAGCCCTGGCTGGTGTAGCTCAGTGGATTGAGTGTCGGCCTGCGAACCAAAGCATCACCAGTTCGATTCCCAGTCAGGGCACATGCTTGGGTTGCAGGCCATATCCCCAGTATGGGGTGTGCTAGAGGCAACCACACATTCATGTTTCACTCCCTCTCCATCTCTCACCCTTCCCCTCTCTCTAAAAATAAATAAATAAATAAATAAATAAATAAATAAATAAAAATATAGTACTGCTGAGAGGCATGTTATAAATAAAACTGAATTATCCAGACCCTCACACAGGGAAAAACATTATACTACCCTCCTAAAACTAGAATGGAAGTAGAAGAAGAAAAGAGTCTCTAATTTCTTCCCATCCCCTATTTTGCAGCTAGCCCTTTAGGAAGCAACCACCACACTCTTATGTAACTTCTTGCCCTCAGTTTCACTAAAGAGTATAAAGAGTTGAAACTTAGTTACTTTACTAAAAGATTGCTGCAGGAGCTTTTGGGATTCACAGGGGTCTCTAACTCTCCATTCCACATATGGGACCAGAGGAACCAGCTGGATGTTCCCAGCACTTTCATTAAGAAGCACAAAGCAGTCCTGGCTGGTGTAGCTCAGTGGATTGAGCGTGGGCTTCAAACCAAAGTGTCATAGGTTCGATTCCCAGTCAGGGTACATGCCTGGGTTGCAGGCCATGACCCCCAGCAACCTCACATTGATGTTTCTCTCTCTCTATTTCCCTCCCTTCCCTCTCTAAAAATAAGTAAATAAAATCTTAAAAAAAAAAAAAGAGGCACAAAGCATCCCTGTGTTCAGAGCTCACTTATCAGAACAGGCTTTCCTGTGTTCAGAGCTCATTTATCAGAACAGGCAAAACCCACAGGGTTTCTGTTTAGATTTAGGTGAAAGTAAATTTAAATTTAGGTGAAAGGAGAATTTCCTTTCCTCCTACATTAAAGTCCCTCAACTAGCAGGCCCACAAACCATACACTCAACCACAAAAATCAATGGCAGCAAGAGTCTCAATAATTTAGAAAGTCATACAACAGAGACTTGATATTGGCAGCAGAAAGTTTATAGCCCAAATTCTGTTAGTTTAATATGTTGTATCAATTGGACTCTACAATAATGAAGTAACCTTTAATTAAGTAGTGGGAGCAGGACACATTTCTATGCAGTGGAAGGAGCTAAATATTTGCAGTCAGAAGGGCTATTCACAAAATCTAGCCCAGCAATGGACTGTCCACCCGGCAAGTCCCTGAGGCTAGGCCGCAGTTTCTTCATCTGCAACATGGAGGTGGCCTCACAACACTGGTGAAGATTAAATAAGATAATATGGGCTTATGGCAGCCTGGTAGTATCTGGCCTATTTATTATTGAAACTATATCTGAATGAGAAAACCACAAATCTTCCTTTGGCGAAGCAATAGCTTCTGTTACAAATAAAGCTCAAGATCTATGGGCTGTAATGGTGGAAAACACATTTCAGTTTCTTGGAAGAGGCCCAGAACAACAGAAGAGAAAATGAGCTGGAATTCCAGTTCTGCCAGGATCATCCTGGGGAAGCTGGTTAACCTGGTGGGGCCTCAACTTCCCACCTGGTTAGAAATATCTAGCTAACAAGACCACTGTAATGTTGAATGAGGTAATCTATACAAAGTTCCCAATACATAGCTAGTCCTTAGTAGGCACTCAATCAAGAGGAGTTATTGGTATTTAATTTTCTCCGATAGAAAAAGAAAATCACCATGAAAATCACCAGTCCTCATATTTTAAAGAGGATTTCATCATTCAGTAAGTATTTCTTGCACACCTACTGCGTGTGTCCAGCACTGTTGCCGACATTGAAGACAGTGATGAACAAGACTGATAAGATCGCTGCTTTCCTGGAACTTCCATTCTATGGGCGGAAAGCAGCTGGTAAAGAGCCCGAGGAGAGAATTTCAGAGAGAGTTGAGCGCTGTGAGGAATGTGGAACAAGGTGGTGTACTAGCAACTTGGAGGAGGGGCTTGAGCCTCAGTGCATTTCAGCCCAGGCCTGCTTGACTGGTCTCCTTGGGCCAGAAGGGGGACCTCACCTTGTATGGTCACGCTTGGGGGTGGAGGGTCCATGATCAGAAGTCAAATCTACACTTTCACCTGTCTGTGGAAGGATCTCCTTCGCATCTGCAGCTTAAAATACTTCTAAATGCCCCATTCCGTAGTCAAACCCTGAGGGTCAGTGCAACACCTGGGGGACCTTATGTACCTCAACGCAGTTCCCAGACACATCTAACGCGACAGCTTCACAGTCCCCTCGGCTCAGAGTCCAGACTCGGGAGACTGGTAATTTGTGAGAGGGAGGAGAGAGCGTACAAGTGTGCAGAAGGTGGTTGGCAAGTTTCATTACCGAAGCAGGGCGCCGCGTCCAGGGTTAAGAAGAAGCATCTGCAGGATCTAAGACGATAACCAGGGCGCTAGGAAGCCCCGAGGGGCGAGAGCCCTCAGACCCCAGCCTGGGCACCGTTAGGTGGAGCAGGCCTGGCGAACGAGGCGAGCGAGCCAGCCGGGTGCCTGCAAAGCCGGCGTCACCCGGGTCCCCCAGCCGCGCCCCATTCCGCGGATGTGGTAAAGCTTCGCGCTCAGTCCAATTAAACGGGTTTCCTGTGACCTCCCGCCCCCGCGGCGCTCCTCCCCACAACCCAGGACAGCCCCTCTGCAAAGCATCCTCCGGCGCACCGGCGACCCAGGCCCCCCAGAGCTCCACGCCTTCACGCTGCCGCCCTCAATCCCAGCCAAACCATCCCTCCAAGGACAGAGCTCTGGGGTGGGCAGCACTCGAGCCCTACGTCCAAAGAGACTGGCACCGGCGCCGAGGACGGTCTCCTTGGCTCGGGGCTGCCCCTCCGGCCGGTAGGTTCTTCTCGGTGACAGGAGGCTGACTCGGGCTGACCCCGGGGTCCTGCCGAGACTGGTCGCCCCCACTCCGAAATCGCAGTCCTAGCAAGCCCACGCCACCGCTGCCGCCGGGCCCCTACCACACCCCAGCACCAATCTGGCAGGCGTCCCGGCGCTTACCTGCTCGCTCTGCAACCGGGAACGCTGCCTACTTCCCCGGTGGGTGCCGGGCTCTGAGGTTCGTCCACAGACCCGGGAGTAGGCAAACCCGGTTTCTTCCGTCCCCCGGCAACGTGTGTTTGACAGTTCCCTCACCAGCTGCAGGAGACCGGGGCGGGGACGGCCACTCGAGGGCCGACAGAGGGGTTGGAGCCCGCTCCGCGAACTGACTGTCTTGCGCTGCAGTCCCTTGGCCCAGCAGGGCTCATGGGCTCGCGGGCGCTGCGATAGCGCCGCCGCTTCCCGGGACTTTGCCCAGAACTTCTCCGCACTCCTCGCCCAGCGATTAGCAGGAGGGAATAAACTAGGAGGAGGAGCCCGAGCCCACCCTGGGGGCGGGGCCATGTGCGGAAGGCGGGGGAAGGTGAGAGGGGCCGCAGAGTGACCCATGCGCCCACCAATCAGGAGTCGGCTCCGGGGAAGGGGGTGGGGTGATACACTTGGAAAAAGCGTGTGGATTCCATGACGCAGACAAGGGAGTTGGGGCGCTGGGCTCCCGGCAGGTGGGGAGGGTGGAGGGAGGTGGGAGCTGAGGCAGGGCCTGGGAAGGGGCTTCCAGCTGCCCCGAGAGCTATCTGTGCACTGTAGATGCCCCATAAATATTTGTCGAGTGGCCTTTCCGGGCTAGGGAAGGAGGGGAAATGTGAAGGCAGCGCGGGAGGGGCTGGTTAGGGGGGAGCTTGCAGGGGACAACGTGGTCGAACTGGCACAGAGGACTGGACGCTTTGAGGAAGTCAGACCGAGGCCAAGGGGTCGAGAACGGAGGAGAGCTGGTGGTGACGGGAAGATTGCAGACACGGGATGGCGAAGGACAGATTCGGCGCGGAGCCCTGGCCCCAGACTGTGACCCTGTCGCGCAGAGGCAGCGATGCAGACTCGTGCGGGGGGCCTGGGAGGCAGCCTGCAGGGAGTGTGGTTGTTTCGTTCCATGCAGTTCTCGTGACGGGGCGGGGGTGGGGGGGGGGAGGGGGGCGACTTCAGAGTTAAAATGCAGGAGCTCTTTAAAAGACGGTAAAGTCCACATAACTCGACTGCCCACACACTCCTAGGCCTCCTCGGGTCCTAGCGTGAATGCAAGCCAACTGATCACCTGGAGTCGGTTTGCAGCCAGCGAACCTGCTGCGGGGTGCCGCACGTGGCGGGAGCACCAGTTGTGGGCGTGCGCCAAACCTGTCCCGCTGCGCCGGTGTGCGTCGGAAGCAGTTGCAGGCGCGCAGCGGGGATGACGGCACACCAGGTTCCTGCTCTCATGGAGCTTATATTTTAGCGGGAAGACAGGCCATAAACAAAGAAGAACATATGCAAATATAAACAAACGAGAAAATGCTGATGAACTGTGAGCACTGGGGTGATTGCTAAGCAGGGCTTTCAAAAGTGATGATTGGTGTGACAGGGAGCCCAAGGCACCCCAAGGGCCTCTCAGCGGAGGTGGCTTCTATGCAGATTCCTGAAAGGAACTGGTCTCGGGAAGAGCATTCCAGGCCGAGGAAAGGGCAGATGCAAGGTAAACTGCCTCACCGAGCTGAACAAAGAGTGTGGCTCGCTCACCAGGCTCCCTGGCGTAGAGTAGGGGCTCCCAAATGTTAAATTCCAGCGCCATCTGCCACCTGCGGCAGCCGACGCCTTTCCAGTTTCCCACCTGACCCCAAATTAAGGTGTCTGAGTCTCTTGCCAGAGCCATACTATTCGCATTTCATTCATCGCGCTAGATTCTCGGCTTCTGGAACCATCCGCGTTGCGGGGTGTCTGGGACTGTTTTGGATCTGGCAAGCAGCGAGCGAGGGAGGGAGGATCCCAACCAGCTGCACAGCGAACCCACTGTCAGGCTGCCCACGTCCGTGTATACGGGGAACCCTACGGGAGAAGATTTAAAATCGAATGACTTGGAGGTTCTGAAGTCATCCCCCTGCCCCCGACATCACCTGACAGCGCGGGGTGGGCGGACAGGTCCGGCAGGCGCCTGACCCTCCATTCCAAATTCCAGGAAGCACCGTGCCCACACCCAGCCTGGATGGCTGGAGCAGTTCAGACGCTGTGGTCCCGGTCTTTCTCGCATTTTTCCGTAATTCCTCTCTCAGAGGGAAGCTAGGTTTTGCCTCCCCCCCCCCCCTTCCCTCAAGCTCTTGGACGTCTTTTTCTTTTCTCCTTTTCCCACCCTCACCCTGCTATATTAGCATGGTTTTCTTTGCAGGAGACGAGCCTCGCGTCCTAAAGGAAGTTATTTGCTAGGGCTTTATTGTTGAAACGAGCATTCAGTTCTTGGCTTCTTCAATTTCTTCCAGCTAACCAAGTTTTTGTACATATATATTTTTTTTATATTTGTACTTGAGGCAGTCGGTTGGACAGGATGAGAAAGTAATTCATACTCAGATTGTACCTCACCTCCTAGAAAAAGAGGAATCATACTGTGTTTTAATCGTTTCATTTCCTCTTCTCCTCCTAAATAAGCTTCCAGGCTTGCTAGCTCCTACAACAAAAGAAAAAAAATTAAGGTTGAATCCCACGCAGAGCTAATTATTCTGGGGGGGAAAGCTTGTTAATGTTCTAAAATTAGTTTTCTCCTCGGAGTTTTATGTTAGAGCAAGGATCTGCGTGCCTACTCCAGCGAGGTCAATGGCTCTATACTATGAACTTCTAAAGACCCTCTTCTCTGAACTATTGAACAAATACAAATACTTTTTTTTTAATCTATGAAGACACAGCCACCATGATGGAAATTTTTCAGAGCTGGCTGTACATCCTTAGCTTCTGAAATCTGTAATATGTAAGCATGTGTTTAAAGAGTTTATGTGTTTTAGTGTTGCAGGTTCGATTCCCAGTCAGGGCACATGCCTGGGTTGCAGGCCATGACCCCCAGCAACCGCACATTGATATTTCTCTCTCCCTCCCTTTCCTCTCTACAAATAAATAAATAAAATCTTTTAAAAATAGAAAAGATAATGAGTTTTTTTTTAAAGAGTTTATGTGTTTTGACAGTAAAGGAAGCTGATGAGAATGGAGTTTTGTGGAAGGGGAACTCCAGAGGCTTCCAGAATCAGGCTACCTGGGTTCCTGTCCTGTAATCTTCCTGACTCTGAGAGCACTTTTCCTTGTCTGTGAAATGGAGACAGTAATTGTACTTACTGGGCCACAGGAAGAGTTTCATCATCGGTTTGAAAATGACTTTCACATGGCCTAATTCCAAGTTCTCAATCTCAACACTATTGACATTTTGGGCCAGATACACCTTCTTTTCTGGGTGCTGCTCTGCGCAGTTAGCAGCATCTCTGGCCTCTAGCCAATAGATTCAAGGAATACCCTCTCCTTCCCACAACCAAAAAGTCTCTGGACGTTGCCAGAAGTCTCCAGGAGGGCCAAATTGCACCTGGCTGTACCATTAGCACAGCACACAGTTAGTGCTCCCAGATTAGGAGGCAGTATAGAGAAATGCTTAAAAATAAGGATTTCCAGAGTGTGAACTCCAGGGAAAAATTTGCTTCCCTAAACCTCATCTGCAAAATGGGAATCAAATAATGCTAACTCCTTTAAGACTGATTAAGGATTAAGTAAATATGTACATGTGAAAGCAACTTGAACAGTACCTGGCCCAAAGTAAGCTCAAGACGTGAGCTTCTGTTCTCATTTCCTTCCTGTGAAATGAAGGCAATGGACTAGATCAGGGATAACCTATCTTGGCTTATTTGCTGCTACTCCCCTCCCTGCCTCTTACCAGGTAACACTATTAAATCAACACCGTCTTTCCACTGAACCCAAAGAGGCAGGCAGAATCCTTCTAAACACAGTGCTTTAGGAAGCAGCTACTGATAGGTCAACACATGAGATGATGCTGAATTACCACGTTGAGGATATAAAAACTTTAAGACATGTTAAGATTAAGATCTTAAATCATCATAAAATTAGAGCTTAAATCTTCTGGAATGGTGACTGTAAGACAATGTGATGAGGAGGAACTATGGTTCTTCGCTTCCTCAATCCCTTTCATGAGGAAGGGGAGAGAGTTCCAGCATTGGACTAGAATCCTACAGCCTATGAGCAATCAGAGGCCGAGTCTCCTACCCTCTTAGAGTGTCCCCTTTGTGCCACTCCTGCCACCAATGGGAGCTGGAGAAAACACTTGTCAGAAGCAGTGACGCCACCTTCTCCATCCTGTGCACTCCCACTCACTTTCTTTCCCCTTCTCTTCTCTCTGGAAAATGAATCAAAGTATATTTAGTTGCACAGAACACCTCGTTAGCATACTTGCAGAAGTGTTAGTCCTCATGACTCGGGACTGTGCAAGATGCCACCACTCCTTCATTAAGTACAGACTAACCGCCTCCTTTGTGTCAGGGACGGTTCTCAGCAGGCATTTGAAGAGACCGAAAGATGAGTCAGTGTGTGTCCCTGCCCTCAATGTTTTTACAGTTGCATACATTGGGCAGATCAGTCATGGACATAAATAACTACAATACAAGCTTTAAAAAAATGGGAAAATGTCCTAAGAAAGGCACCAAAAATGTGTTCAGGGAACAGAGAAATTATTTGGGGAATTAGGAGCAGAGTGTCACTTCCTGCCTGTCTTTGTTGACATTTTTAACTTTTTGATCAAAAATTCTTATTTGTCACAATAAAGTGGTCCTCGCAGAGGAAGTTGCAACACTGTTAAGCTTCCTGGTTTAGACACAGCTCCTGCTTAAAGTGCATATTATCAGTGCCACTAAAAGTGACAGTTCATTCTAACTGATGGTCATTTTTTCATTAGACGTTTAAATTTCTGGGAGGTTCTAGAGAAAGACTGTTCACCTTCAGTGACAACAGGCTACCTTTCTCACAGGCATTTGAAAGAACCAGATTTTTTGCATGTTAGACTGGGCGAATACAGGGCAGTTGTAAACAAGGAACAGAGGCAGGTACAGGGACACCAATGTCATACACTTTAAACCATGGATCTGTATTTCCCTCAGGACTGAACCACCTCAGAAGTCACCGCTGAGCACTCCGTTATCTTTCAGGTACTGTCTCCACGGCACATGGGCATCCTCCAGTATTGTCTGAGCTAAATCCTAAGGACTATAATAAGAGTCCACATTGATATGCCAGGCACTGCCAAGCTGGGCTGCCAAGATGACTGCCACTCCTGCCACTGCCAGGAGGCTGCCTGTCAGACCAGAAAGACTTGGCCGAACTGCCCCGACCACACCCTCCTGGTACAAGCCTCACCAATAAAGCGGGCACCTTGAGTCCTGCTTCTCCTTTATTACCTCATTTGCAAATTTGTGCCTTTCATGCATGCATGTGATGGGTAC